TGGTGGCAGTGATGGTGATGATGATGATGGTGGTGGTGGCGGCAATAATGGTGGCGATGATGGTGATGATGATGATGGTGGTGATGGTGACGATCATGGTGATGGTGGCGATGATGGTGATGATGATGATGGTGGTGATGGTGGTGATGATGGTGGTGATGGTGGTGATGACGATGATGGTGGTGATGTGTTGGTGGTGATGGTGGTGATGACGATGATGGTGGTGATGTGTTGGTGGCGATGGTGGTGGTGGCGATGATGGTGGTGGTGATGGTGATGGTGGTGGTGATGATGGTGGTGATGGTGATGATGATGATGGTGGTGATGATGGTGGTGTTGGTGATGATGGTGATGATGGTGATGGAGACGGTGGTGATGATGATGGTGGTGATGATGATGGTAGTGATGGTGGTGGTGATGATGGTAGTGATGGTGGTGGTGATGATGGTGATGGTGATGATAATGATGGTAGTGATATGATGATGATGATGGTGGTGATGTGATGGTGATGGTGGTGATGTGATGGTGATGATGGTGGTGATGATGATGGTGGTGATGGTGGTGATGATGGTGGTGGTGATGATGGTGGTGATGATGGTGGTGATGATGATGGCAGCAACGATAATGATGATAATCAGCTTCTCTTTGCCCGCCTGGCCTTTATCTATTCAATCCTGATCCCTGTGAGTGCAGCCTCATTCTTGGTGACCATACACATCCAGGACAGGCCTAGTGACACCTGTTGTCTTGCCCACACATCTGGTGTCATATTTTAGAAAGAAATTTTGGTTTTGAAAAGAGTTTCTACCTGTATTATTTTGCAAGTCAACTAATATAAACAATACTGATCTATTGGTTGATAAATATTTCAAAAGCAACATAATTATAGTGCCTCCTTTTATTCCCAAGTGTCTCGATTTGAATGATTAATTCCATGGTTTTCTGTGCTCTGTGGGAGGGACTGAGGCTTGGGGCAGTTAAGTGTCCTGGCTCAACACCCCAGGTGTCCCATATTCGCATCGTCTGCACCTGTCTTAGGTGATTTCTACCACCACGTGAGTGCTGCTAAAGAGGGAGTGAGGATTAATCATCTGAGTGGCGCTGGCGGTTCCGCCCACGCCTCACAAGGAGGATTTTGACTGCAGCTTCAGAGCCTGGCCCCCGTATAACAACACTCCACTGTGTAACCAGTGTGTGTAGACTCGGGACACACCCAGGCTGCCCGACGCCAGCCCCCAAGCTCCTGTTCCCTTATTAGTCATACTTGGCCCCACTTCCTCCCTTCTCCCTGGCTCTGCACCTGCCCCCAGGTCCTGACACCCCTGAAGACCCCAACCCTTCCTTAGCCCTTCCATCATCCTCCTGGCCAGAGCAGCCCCAGCTGGCCCTCTAGTTCTTGGTGAAGGGAACAACTTTCCTCCTCCCCCTGTGTGAGGTTCCCTCGCGTTCATCCTGCATTTGAACGCCCAAGCTTCTGCCAATGTGCGAAGGAAGGTGTGAGTCACCTCCTGGTCCTGTGAGCCAGGCCTGCAGATAAATTCAGGCCCCACTAGCCTGCAGTGTGTTCACCAGCCCAAATCCTACTTCCTGGTGGAAAATGGAGAATCGGGCTGTTTGGTTGCTGCTGTCCAGGTTGGGGATGGGTCTGGGGTCCTGAATCTGGCCTCCTCGCCAGCTCGGTGTCTCTCTACCCAGGTTGTCCAGAGGCCTGGCCAGCGCCCGATGGAGGGCTGCAGATTCCTCTGGGCCTCTCATTCTGGGTCCTGAGTCTGTAGCCGGGAACAGGGAAGACTGAGGGAGCAGACACCCAGGCCCCTCTGAATGTCCCCTCAGCCTTCTATACGGGCGGGATGCAGGCTTGTTGGGAAGTTAAGGGAAGCCAGACTTCGGCTCAGCATTAAAACCAGGGCAGATGCTGCCCAGTGAGAGAACTGTGTGGTGGTGAGCTCACCATCACTTGTAGGGTTCACACGTCCCATCAGGGTGTGGGGAGGGAGAGGGCTGGTCTGGCTGGAGCTGAGGCTTCTGTGACCACCTGGTAGCTCTGAGCAGATCACAGACGGCAACTGAGAGGGTGCTGCACCAAGGTGCTAGGTGATAGTCCCATCTGACAGATGAGGAAACTGAGGCCCAGGGAGCGGAGAATTGCTCACATAGGGTGTCACGTAACTGGTGGACGTGGAATCTCCAGTCCAGCCAGCACTGGCTGTGTAACCCTGTCCCTCGTGACCAAGTGGGGGAGGTGAGGTAGATTCTGGGTCAGGGCCTGAGGTCGCTGCAGTGGAACCTTCTAGAAAGCCCCAGCAGTGCTGCAGACACCTCCAAGGACCAGGCAGCAAAGGCCTCGTTGCATCTGGGCTGCAGAGAGTCAGTTCAGGGGGAGGAGGGACCCGTCCAGCCAAGTTGTGCCTCCAGCAGTGATCGCGGTCGCAGTACGAGCCACAGCCCCGAATTAGTCCCCTCGGTCGTGATAGTGGCCCCGTGGAGTGGGTGCTCTCATCTCCCCATCACAGGTGGGGAAACTGAGGCGCAGAGCCTTACCCAGGGTCACACAGTGGCCCGTTTGGGGACCAGGATTCCCACTTGTTAGAGGTACGATCCTGGGGCCCCACCTGCACCTACAGGATGGGGTCGTTTTAGGGATGCGCCCGGCCGGCTGAGTCGTTGCGGTGCTTCCCCGCCTGCTCACCTGAGAACTGCTGTGGACGAGCCCCGTGGGGAGGGAGCGGGCCCGGCGTCAACTGCCCGTTTTGTAGATGGACAAGCTGAGAGTCCAGGGTCCCTCAGCTGGCCCCTGCGTCCTGTCGTCTGATGACGCAGAAGGGAAGGAGCGACATGGCTGGAGTCAGCAGGCGGGGGCAGGAAGTCCAGTGGTTAGGGGCACGGGGTGCTGGGTCAGTTCCCCCTGCCCCCATGCAGTGTGGCCTGGGCACATGCCCAGCCTCTCTGTGCCTAAGTTTCCTTGTCTGCAAACGGGAGTGGTGATTGTCCCGAGCTCAGAGGCGGTTGAGGATGGCATGAGTCGTGTGTATGAAGAGGAGCCCGGCGCCCACACGGCGAGCCCTGTGTTGCTGTCGTTGGGCTCATTTCTGCTCTGGGCCTTGATGGGAGGCGAGACGCGGGAGAGGCTGGGGTCCGTGGGGGCAGTGAGAGCTGGAGGAAGCGTTTGTCCAGGGCCCCAGCAGGCCCCGCTGGCCCGGCTCTGCGTCTGAGGGGTGAGATGGTGGCAGGAGCCCTACCTCTGAGGCCAGCCCCCACCCCGCCCCAGGGTCCTGGGAGCCGGGCACCAGAGAAGGCCAGCGACTTGCCCAAGGACCCCCAGGAGGGGCGGCGCTCGCTTCTCCCCCTGCATGACCCCGTTGTTGTTCAGGGCGCTGTAGGTGACCTGGGGCTGCTGGTGTCCAGTCTGGAGGGAGAGGGCACGTCGGTCCCAGGACAAGGGCTGTCGGGACAGGGCGGGCAAGTGGCCGGCAGAGCTGCTGCAGGTCCTCGCTGCTGCCCGCTGGGCTCTGGCCCCCCGCCAGCCACCTCCCCGGCCACACCAACCTCCGCCCTCCCACCCGCTGCCGGAGCCACCTCGCCTCTAACCCTTCTCTCACTTCCTTCCAGCCTTACACGCCTCTGGGAGCGAGGTACCCAGAGGGGAGTGCAGTGGCCCAGGTACGAATGTGGCCGGCTGGCCTGGGGGGTGGGGGTAGGGCCAGGCCGGGGTGGGGGGCATCCCGAGGTCACCTGTCCTGTGAGGGGCCCCACTTCTGGGAGCATGCCTCTGTCTGTGGGCACCACCATTTATGCTGCCGCCTCGGTCCCCCCTTTTCAGTGCAGTGTCTGTTCCCCATGCTGTTCCCTGACACACTCCTGCAGATCAGTACACTCGGCTCAGCTCTTTGGTTGGTTTTCACTAGTGTATCCATCCGTGACTCTCACCTGGTGTGATTTGCCCAACAGCAAGTGCTGGGGTTTTCACATGTCCCCATTGTACAGAAATGGAGGAAATTGAGACCCAAAGAAGCGGCAGGAGTGGTTTTTTAAGGCTAAAGAGCTGGGCCTGGAGTGGGGGGTCCCCTCACCCGCGTCTGTGCACACTCAGTCATTCAGTCAGCACTCACCGTGCACCTGCTGGGCTGTGGGAAGCAGATGGGGGTATGGTCTGTGTGGCCAGGTCCCCCGAGTTCACGGGCCTGTTTGTGGTTGGCGTGTTACAATGACGATAATGGTGACACAGCAGCAAGTAGCCACAGGCGTGGCCCTGCGCCGTGTGCCCACTGGCTACTCCCCACTCTACAGATGGGAGAGCACGGCCCGAGGTGCCCTGCACTGCCATGCCAGGCCGCCGGGGGCGCTGAGCCGGGTTGGAGCCCGGAACCAGGCCTGCAGCCCGGTCGCCCTCAGGCTGGCTTTGGGGGTGCCGGTCGCCAGGCGGTCTGGGGGTTGGACGGTGTGAGGTCGCTGGGCCCCGGGGTCAGCCCTGGGAGAAAGCGCCGGGGTGGGAGGGCTGTCCGGGGATGTGCGCCTTGGGGCTGCTTGGTGGCGGGCGATGTGGCCCTGCACCCGGAGCTCTTACGGGGCCCCCAGCACCTTCACCCCCTCCGCTCTCCCCACAGCCGCTGTCAACAACAGCTCGGACACCGAGAGCATCCCCTCGCCGCGTGCCGAGGCCGCCAAGGACTCAGGGCAGAACGGGCCCAAGCCCCCGGGTGCCACCGTGCCGCCCCCCGAGCCGCCC